CGGGGCCTGTCTGGGCAGGCATCTTCGCCGGCGTGCGGGCTGCGGCACGGGCGTGTGTTCCCTCTGCCGCGGGGAGACCATGGCAGACAGAAACACGGTAACGAGCGCTTTGGGGTTACGTTGTCTTCAGCTCAGCCAAGGTGAGCCCTTCGTCATGGTGAGCGTTGAGCTAGACCGACCTTCACCAGCACCTGGAAGAAAACGGCTTCCTCCCAGCTCCCAGGGGGGATGGCAAGAGCGTCTGGGACCCCCTTTGCAGCCCTGTTGGGGTGGGGGTGCTCCTGGCAGAGGGACAGCATGAGAAGGCTCCGCATTGCCCAGTCCAACCGTGCACTGAACAGCTCCAGCACCGCCTCTGCCCACCGACTTCAGAGCTGTCCCTGCGGTAACCTTCCTGCAAGGCAGCTCGCATCCCGGCGAGGCGATGGGGAAGCCGGGCGCTGAGGGAAGGAGACGTGCCCGCCGTCCTGCAGCGGAAGGTGGCAGAACCCTGTGCTCCTGGTGTAACCACATCCCCGTTTGGTGGTGGACAGCTGACAGAAGTGATTTGTCGGAGGAAGTTGCTCTTCGAGTGCTGCTGAAGTCTGGCAGAGCTGGCCAGGGGCTGTGTGTGCCTGGCCATGGTCTCCAGCCATGGTCTTCACCCCGCAGCAGTTTGCTCCACCACGAGCAGAGTTCTATTTCCCTTCCTGCGCGGAAGAGAGCCATGTGCCACCTGCGGTACCTCCTGGAGGGAAGGATTTCTTGGATCTGGTCGTCATCTGCCGCTGTTGGATTTGGACGTCCCTTCTGTAAGATATGGGGGGACCCAGCCCTGCGGTCAGCTCAGCAGCCCTCTCCTGGGACCACACGTGTCCCCTGGAAGGGTAAAGGTAACGCTTGGGTCTTTTTTCCAACTCCAAATGGAGGCAGAAGCTTGAGGAGCAAAGTACCCAAGTGTCCCGTTGTCTTTGGAAAAGGGCATTCGGCTCTCGGATCCCGCAGGTCCGTGGCTGTGTAAGGGGCTCATGTCTCAGCCGAGCTCCTCCCGCCTTGCCAGCTGCTCCTGATTTGCCTGTGCTGTGTGATTTACCGTTCCCTTTCACCGTCGGTTCCTCGATGACGATTCCAGCCCGAGTTGCTATGGTGACTTTATTGCAAAGGTGCGAGTGCCCCGGCCCCGCGTGCTGCGGTACCGACCGCTCCTTCCCGCGGCACGGCGGAGGGGCGAGCAGGGCTGCTGCTAGAGCAGCAGCTGCTCACAGAAAGCAGCGCGGCGGAGAGCCGGCGGTGGGTGTTCCCAGGTTTTTGTGAATGAAATGATGCATTGCAGTCTTACTGTCGGGAGTCCCAGGTCCTGTCCTCGCCCCCTCCCGGGGTTTGGTGTCAGCTCAGGGAGGAAACGGGTGGCAGCAGAAGTCACCGGGGGCTGAGGAGGGTGTAGGAGAGGAAGAGGAGGAAGCTGGCAGAGCGTTTGTTCCCGGTCTGCTGGCAGAAGGGAAAGCGTGGTGTCGCTGATGGGAAGTGAGGCTGAGGACCTAGTTCTAGCCTAGCTGGGGCAGCGGTGAGAAGCTCCTCGGCTCGTTTGTTCCAGGCTCATCCCAGGCAGCCGCTGGGGAAGCAGAGGGGAAAGGGACCTGTCGCCTCCGGTGATCCCCGGGCTCTCCAGCAGCCATGCGAGAGCGTGGCTGGGCTGACTGGTAGGGATGCAGTGGGTGAAGCTCTGCTGGTTCCTGTTTACACAGGGAATGTTTTGGATACCAAACTCTTCACGGAGACACTTGTGATGACCACAAGTTTATGGAGACTCGCTACTAAATTTAGCTCGTGTCAGGAGGAAAAGCAGGCTCATCCTTTTCCAGATTTGGAAGAGAACCCAACGGCTCTCTTTGCTTTGAAATCGAGGCGTAGGTCCAGCATCTGGCCAAGGTAGGGTCCCCATCTTCTGGGCAAAGCAAGACCCAAGCGGTGGTTACCTGCACGGGCAGGGAGGGCAGGAATGGCAGGGGCACTT